AAAACCAGAAACATGGTTTGGTAAATGTGTAATATTCAGGTTAAAAATAAGGAAATTAGGCAGCTGAGGAAAATTGTTCTGTAGTTAAACCATCGAAACTAGTTCAGAAAAATTTACAAATATTAAGCTGATTTTTTTTTGTTTGACATCTGCATCTTATCGCCAATAAGGTGAAATTCAACAGTAAGCCTTTGAAACTAAATCTAAACGCGAGAGAAAGAGCTACAATGCGCGAAATTCATTCTAACCTGAACATTATCATTTCAAAGGCCGACAAAGGTGGCCAGATAGTCGTCATGGACAAGAACATCGATGGTGTCACTAAACTTTTAAACGAAGGACTATATAATCCGATCCCTAAAGATCATTCAACTTCCGACACCTCAAAAATAAAAACTGAGATCAAATCTTCACAAATCCTTTCCGACCAAATTAAAACAATCGCTTATCCCATCTGTCATAAAAATCCAAAAGAGTTTATAGAAAAGTTAAAAGCATTTCTCCTAAATATTTACGCATGGTTTCTTTTGATATAAAATCATTAGTCACAATGTTCCAGTGGGAGTTGCATTAAGATGTCTAGAAACCAGACTTCGTGAGATTAGCCATTGGAAGGCCTCTTAGTCCGCTCCTTGCTGATATTTACTTGCATTATTATGAATCAAAATTATTTGAAAGTTTAAACTTCGCGCTATGGTTCCGCTATGAAGAGGATACGTTTACCCTGTTTGACGGTAATAAAAATGATTTAAATAAAGCTCTTTCAATAACGAATTACATTGATCTTGCTATTCAGTTCAATTCTGAGCTTGAGATATCTAATTCTCTTCCATTCCTCGACATTTTTTTCACATGTAACATATAAAACTTCAGTACTACTGTTTACCGTAAACCTTCAACGATTTGCCTTCCACCACACTTAAAATCATGCCATCCGACTAAACAGAAGTTAGCTTCCTTTTATTCCTTTGTTTTTCGTGCACATCATATTTGCTCCTCCAAACTGGCTCTTGATCAAGGACTAAATTATTTAAAAGCAGTTGCTATTGACAGGGGGTTTTCACTCAACATTATTAACCTAGCATTCAAAAAATTTTCATTTTAACACATCAAAATGCACACTTTCGTTTTTAGTAGATTATAAGAATTGTGTTGTCATTCCTTTCTTTCCATAGATTAACTATAAAATTGCACGTTTTTTACAGAAATTTAACTTTTTAACCTTTTTTTTCTCTTATCAATAAATTTCGCAGTTCCACACTTAAGGACCCCATTCCGGATATGGATTCCTGTGGTACAGGATTCTTTGCCAATGTGGTTTAATTAACATTGGTCAAACTAAGAGAGCCTTAAAATTTCGCGTTAAAGAATATGCGGGATATTTTAGAAAAAAGGAAACACAGAAGTCCTCCGTTGCTCAGCATTGTTCGTCCGAAAAATCACACTTTTCATTTTTCTGGAGCCAAAATTGTTAAAAAACATCTTCGATTGGGGAATTAGATATTATAGAGGAGTTTCACAATAAAAACAATCTTTCTGTTCTAGTTAACGCCCCTAATGCAAATCCGTTTTTTACCTTCAGCCTTTAAAGAAGTTATGCTTTAGTTTAGGCAGCTGAGGAAGTTGGTTCTGTATTAAACGACCGAAACTAGGCTTGCAAAATTTACTGCGCTGATTCTTGCTATTTAAACTCTCCAATAAACGTGTAATGTGTCTTATGTTGACTAAGCAGTAATTATAATCTTGATATTTATTTATAATTTCTTCCTTGAATAATTGAGCCAGCTTATAGTTTACCTTATTGAGTTAACAGCGTTGAACTCTGTTGTCTGTTATTATCTAATTTAATTTAGCCACGAGTGGTTTTTTTTTTTTTTTTGTTGTTTTTTTGCCTGTAGCACAAATTATGCTCTTCTCTTCATACTAGATCAAAGGTTATTTGAAACCTTTTTCTGTATTTGTTAGTATTTAAGAGGCAGCAATAACTCGCTAACCTGTCTAGTAGGGCTTATATTCCAGATCAAGACTTTAACTTAGTTTTTGCATCAATAGCAACTCTTCAAAAGTCTAGAGAGAAATTATCTCTATAGGTTTCACTAAACTTTCACTATATAGCAATAATTTCCATAAAATTATCATTTAACTTGATTTATGATAGAAAAAAACCAAACAGGTGATAAAGTCATAGTGTGCGTTGAAAGCATATAAATGAATGTCTTTATCCTTTATTATTTAAAAATCAAGGAAAACTGCCGTCTTAAATCGCGTAGATTTTGAATAAAACCTGTCGATTTCAAGAGTGACCCAAAATAGGTCCCTCTTCTTCAGAAGCATTAAATTTTCGCTGAGCTTGGAGAAGCAACCCTGTTTGTAGACAAATTAGCGGGAATATCATCGTCTACAAATATATTTGTATAATCATCTACAAATATATTTGTAGAGAAATCAGCGGGAAGAGCAAAGGGAAAACGAACGTAACGACAGCAGTACATGAAAGCAGTAATGAAACGTGAAAAAGCTAAGATGTCAGAAATTTAAAAAAGGCGTTGGGAAAAATCTGGATTGAAATTAATATCACTAATTTCAGAATTCTACTATCTTAGCTTTTTTACGTTTCTTTATCGTTTTTCTCGAGAGACGATGCTACATTCGTATTCTCTTTTCTCCGGTCATTGATTTTTATTACTCCCAACTTGGCAAAATATTTTGACTTCTGGAAATGAGGAACGTGCGCTTGATCGCTCTCAAAATGGATACATTTTTATTCAAAATACATGCCAGTGTAAAGTTATTTCTGTGCCTAATTTTAAATTCTGCACTTATAAGAGATTTCTCCAGTTTTTTTAGCGTGCCTTCGTGGTGTAGTGGTTCTGCACGCTGGGCGGGTATTCCAGAGATCCATGGTTCGATTCCCGGCCAAGGCTTTTGCTAATTTTTCATCTTGCCTGCTTCCAAAAAATCCTAATGTCTCTACACACTGGCATGTTTCTCTTCCAATTAAATCTATTTTATGTTACAGTTTACGCATTTTTATGGAAACAAAAAAACCTAACTTGAAACCTGCTTTGCTGAGATAACATGTCCGCAGGAGAGGGGATACATACACTTGACTCTCCTGGAATCGAGTAAAAAATTAGTTTTGATAGATGTACATATGTACAATATATGCTTTTTTAACAAAGGAATACTGTATTCTATATTCTTTTCATGAAACATCTAAATTAAACAATAATTTATTGAAGTAATTATTTGTTTCCATTCTTGTTTCTTCCCTAGAAATTTTTCTGCGCATATACCTGTGCATTACAAATATGAGTCATAAATGCTTCAATTTTTTTGTTGCTTATAAATTAAATTAAAATGACTAAACAGCATAGTGGTATATACTTTTCTGAATATGAAAGATTATATTTCATTTGAAATCTAAAAGCAATACCTGAGTTTGAAAAACAAATATTCGTAAATATTTTAAATATGCATAGAATTAAAGATTCCCTTAAAAATTTGGTTCAACTTTTTGCCGATTAATGGTCATGTTAATAGTTCGATAGGTTTCCGTAGTTCGATCAAGGTTCAAATCTCGACTACCAACTAGCTGCAGTGACATTCCGTATGTATAACATAAATACGAGCCAGTGTCCCTCAATCTTCTATGAAGGCACTCTTATGCTAAAGCAGGTCCACCAACGGGCAAGCGGAAAAGTCGCTGAATGTTTGGCCCGAGTTGGATCCTGGCGAACAGGCAAGCTGCATGGGTGTTTTCGTGGTTCTTCCCACGTGTAACATGCTTGCAAGCCACTAAGTTTCCTTTAGAAAGCCCTCCACGAAGGCTTCCCCTCGCAAGCTGGTAGCCCTCGAGTGCTTTACCAGAATCAAATAAACCAAACCAAACCGATAGCGATGGTGCGCTTTGCCTTAATCAACTATAAAAATTTATATGAATCAAGCTTAATTACCAAAATTTTGCTCACCAAATTGAACCTTTCGGAATAGATAAAGTAACAGGTACAGAAATATTTTGATCTAAAGATACAGGTATGATACGGAATAAGAAAAATCCTAGTTCTATTTGAATTACCGAAAGAACCGGAATAGTTGACAAGAAAAGAAGACAGGAATAGTTAGAGTGTATCAGATCCACAAGAAAAAACATTACCTTTCATTTTGTAGTTGCAATTTCATTTAAACAGAATTCATTTGAATTACTTTGATTAAAATCAAAACCATCATCGTATTCTAACCTAAGTTTCCTAGCTTTCCAAATAAATATGGTTATCCATACTTCTATTTAAATTGCCCTAAAAGATAAGTATGATCGAAATTTTGAGTGGTTTGTACAGCAAGTATATTAATTTTTTAAATAATATTAACCTATTTTCATGAACAATGCAGAGTAAGAAAGAACCACACAGTAAACAGTTAAGCAGCCCTATTCAATAAATTTCACATATCGTATAAGTAAAAAATATGTAACGGAATTCCAGCTTTATATTTAAATGGGAAACTAGCTGAAGCACCTTAATTGTGATTAAAAACAAAATATATCAGAATTCCTCATACTTTTAGTGATATTACCACGTCCGAAAAAAGTATATTCATTCAGCAGCAAAATCTGCATTTCACAGTTTAATTCATATTATTTAATTATGAGGTAAAAGTGATTCTTCTCAGTTTTCGTATTTACTATATAAAATGTCGAATGAGGATGAGAACTTTAAAGAAACGTTATGACAATCATTTATTTGAGCATGATTACTTATGCAATTTGTTTCTAGTTAAAAATGTAATTAATTATGATTTTTATGAATGATCATATATTCTATTGTTAGTCAACGTGGATTTTATTCATCTTACCAAACTTTGATCGGATTCGGTGCTCAGTATTCCGTTAGAGTTATTTTTCTTGACAATTACACAATAATGATTCTATTATACTATACCGATGTACATACTTAGAAGAAATTTGACAGTGACAACTAAACAAAATATTACGCAAGAAATTTATGATAAGTATTATTTATTTACTTAATGTAAACAATTTTCGTGAAATCTTGTGGACAATGACTTCCATGGTACCCATGCATATCCATAGTACTTGGGATTTGCTGCTGGATCTAAAGGGCGATTCCTTATAGGAACACTATAAGATCTGTACATATCCAACAAGATTTCAAGCTCTTTAACCACCTATTAGAAGAAGCAAATTAAATAAGTCTATATGCAATAAGTATTTTGTTAACCAATAATTGAAGCAATAAGAATGAATGCTTATAAAAATTCTTTCAGTCTTACCGACGGCAAAGAGTATGCTAAGTTATTATATTCACAAGGATCTTCTTCAAGATTAAAAAGACATGCAGAATCCATAGGTTTACAGTTCGTAGATGCATTTTCAGGCTTTACCCCACAGTAAACTTCTAATGGTGATCTGGAAATTTCTTGATTGTGAGATAAAATGGAAATGCTGTCCGAAATGACACTGTCCTCGCCGGAAATGCCGTCGTCACAAATATCACTGCCACAATCCTCGTTACTGTCGTAAATGCCACTATCTTGGACATTATCAGAAATGCCACTCTCCTCGCTAAAACTGTCTGAATTATGGTCTTCCATCATGCAATAGCTATCAGTCATACTGCCAGTGTGACGAGAAACAGAACTCTGTTGATATTTTGAAATGATAGCCCGCACCTTAGATTCCTGTGCAAATTTCTTGTATATCTAATTTTTAGAAATAATTTCATTTCATTAAATATGTGCTGATAACTTAATGTACAAAAAGTAGCAAACTATAAAGGGAAAAAGTTGTTAACATACCTGAGCAATATTAATTAAATTAAATATTAATTAAAGAAGTCAAATTTGAATATTAGTTTTAAAGAAAACAGGAAGAATAGAAAAAAAGGAAAAAAAAAATAATTGTAATCTCATATTGTTAATAACTAATATTTATAGCAGTCTATATATTTTTTAAATATATAAATTTTTTGAAGGAAATTAATTTGAATAAAATTTTCTACAAGTTTTTCATTTAAATCTAACAGTTACAAAAAGAATAAAAACCAATTATACTTATCCTAATCATAGTGCCAGAAGTAACAAACTAAAAAGGGAAAAAAGTTATGCCATACCTTAATATTAATTGAAGAAGTCAAATCTGAATATTGACATTAAAGAAGACAGGAAGAAATAATAAAAAGGAAAAAATAATTATAATCTGGTATTTTTAATAACTAATATTTATAGCATTCTGTATAATTTTAAATACATACAAATTTTAAAAGTTTAAAAAGTTTTTTAGCAGGAAATTAATTTGAAGACAATTTTTTACAAGTTTTGCAATTCCTTCCAACCTTAAGAATAAAAATTTATTATACTCATCTTAATTATTGCGCCAGAAATAGCAAACTATAAAGGGAACAAGTTATTGCCATGCCTGAGTAATGTTAATTAAAGAAGTCAAATTTGAATATTGACTTTGCAGGGCTACAATTGTTCTGGTAAACCTTTTTATTTAAACAGAATTCAGAACACAAAGGCACCCTCTTGTGCTACAATTTTTACAACTCGTGATGATGCAAAATAAAAAGTCCAAATTTAATCAAACATTGAACAGTAGTCAAGGACTACCCACTTAAATATCACTAGAAGCTAGCTCACTAACTTTTAAGGAACGTCAGAATTAATATGTCGGAAGCAACAGAAAGGAAAGCCGAATAATTACTACTATTCAGAGCTGGCAGGAAATTAATAACGTAGCGCATACACGATGCCAGAAACACGTTTTGTCTTAAAATTCCAAAACCTCAAATTACATACTGGATACTCATTTGCATTCTGGTGAGGAATGCGGAAAAGAGAAGTTAAAATAAAGACTGAAATTATAAATAACTAATTAATGAAAATAAAATTCCCTGCAACTTTAAAAAAGGCAGAAAGAAATATTAAAAATTAAAAAAAAATTACGATCTCGTATTGTTAATAGCTAACATTTATAGCGGTTTATATACTTTTTAAAAACACACATTTTTTGAAGGAAATTAATTTGAATAAAACTTTCTACACATTTTGCCTTTCCTTTCATTGTCATAAAAAGAATAAAAACCAGTTATACTCATCCTATGCATTATATCAATGCAGCTTGTGAGAATTTATCTATTTATTTTTAACTAATAGTTAATTTTAAGTTAAAGCACTCTTCTGTCATTCTCTTTTCATGCCACAATGTAAATGAGATAGCGAGAGTTTATTTAAATTGAGGGAGAAAGAAATACTATTTAAGTGAAGATTTCGCAAGTTGATTTTAGAGCGTGTTCTGCCTACTTCAGGCCACGTTGTTACCGTGAGTTATTAGCGATTTGATTTTGTGTCATTGACTGCTTTCAGCCCATTAGGCTTGTATCGACGATTTTCTACAAACCAGAACCTTTTCCGAGCGTTACTTTATTCCGTGAGCCGTTAGGCTAATCTTAATACATTCAAATTTAATTCAGCGTTAACCTAAGTGTAAACCCAAGCTGGGTAATTGTTGCTTTTTGTTTTCAAATAAAAGGGTCTTATACACGGTAACAGTTCTAAATATTGTTTTTAAATTCTTGTACAATTTAACTAGATGAAGAATAATATATATGTTAATGGCAATATTTGAAAAGCAGGCTCGAGAGCCGCATGTGGTTCTCGCACGAAGAAAGAATTTATTTTTAAATAATTTAGAATACGTTTTCTCTTTTTTGTATGTCGCCATCTTGAGTGTTAAATAAAAATTATTGCTGTGTTCCATCAACGGAGTTTGCTTCAAATTGCGAAAGAAGTATCACACCACCCTTCTTCTGACTTTGGTTTTTTATCATAAGGCTTAAAGATAATTCTTCTATATCTTTTTATGCTTCCTAAGAATACCAAACTTTATACTGTATCTTGCCTTCAACGTCTTAAGCCCCGTCAGCCACGGTGAATCCCATGCAGAGATTTGGATTTATTGTTGACACCCTTTAATGCTATGAAACCAGCAGCAACTTTTGATGGAAAGACCCCAGTCTTAAGTTTTATTTAAGCATTATTATTGAACAGTTAAATGCTGATTTTCTGCTGCATTCAATTCAAGAAGCGCATAAAGTTACGACTGCCACGTCCGCTGTTAGAGGCCAGGCTTCTACGTGGTATTAAATGCATCGGCAAATTTGTCTTGGGTGAGCCTGGTAGCGAAAGCTACAACTTCGAGAACTTTAAGCAGGCATTAATTAAAGTTTTCTCGATAGTAAAGACTAGAGCCAAGCTCGAGTCAGAGTTATTCAGCAAATTCCAGTATGAAATCGAGAATCTGACGGGCCATATCTTACAGAAAGTCCAGATTTTTAATATGTTGTACGGCAAAAAGCCGGACGAAGAAATTATTCAAATAATTTTGCCGCGACTACTACCCCAAATCCAGGACTTTTTTGAGCTTCGGAAACCAACAACGTTGGAAAATTTATTTAAATTAGTCACGAAGTTCCAAAATCGAAGCGTGTCAGAAAAAAAAAATTGAATGACAGGGTAAGATAAGAGGCCAAAAGAGGGAAGTTTTAGGCCAACGCCTCAGAAAAAGCGACACTTGAAGAATATTGGAATTACTAAGAATATGTATGAAATTATAAAAAATTACTTTAAAAGGCGAAAGATGGTTTTTAAAGGTCCATCTGATAATTAAGCTGGTTTTTGACATTTACAAACAATGCCCCCAGGGCTCCTCTGTTCTGGGGCCTCTTTTGATTTACTCCAGAAAGTCAATATTTCGAATTGTGAGATTATCTGTTATGCCGACGATGGTTATGGTGGAGGAAGAATCTCTTGAAAAAATAGAGGTGTTTCAAATAGTAGGAAATGATTTGAAAGAAATGGAGAGACAGAAAGAAAATATATTTAATTAAAGAAAAGACTTGTGGACTTTTTCCCCCCTCGGGGTGGAAAGAAGACTAGACTCCACAAATGAAATGTAAGGGTGATCGTATCAAATTTTGTAAAAATATGAAATAGCTAGGAATTATTATTGATGACAAATTAAATTTTACAGAACATTTTAAGCATATGCGTAGAATCACAGATAATATTTTAAAATTTTATAATTTTAGTGTTGATACATTAAATAGAAAGAGTTCCACCCCGAGAGAGATATTTAGAAATGTGGTCATCACTAAAATATTATTTGGAGTGAGAGCACCGTCCCTCTTGATTTTGTACGAATTATAACTAGAAAAACCTTCTATTAGCTAACAAAATTATTATAGCTACTGAAATTGGACAAAAAATACTCACGAGTATGGCCATTCAACAAGAGAATGAGGATATTATTCACAAAACGACACGATTTGGATTATTTTATTATCTTGATTTTCCTTCAGGTGGCGAAATAGACGTGTTTACACGTGGTTCTGGAACTGATGGAGGAGTGGGTGGCGCTGTAGTAATTTATTTTCATGGAGTGAAGCTAGACAATATGAAAATAAAACTTAAACTGATGAATTCGGTTTGTCAAGCAAAACTTGTAGAGACATTAGGTTATTACGAAGCAGGAGAGATGAAAAATGAACAATGCCCTCACAGGGGATTCGAACTACGGACCTCTCGAATACGCGCCGAGCGTGCTGACAATTATATAACGAAGGCATGCTAAGGATGGCGGGAGAAATACATTACACACTACGCGCACCGAAAGAGACTTTGAACTGTATTAATGAAAAATTAACAGTTCGATATTTTATAAATATTTATACTGATGCCCTCTCTGCGCTACAGGCACTCTTCCAACCAGATCATAAAAACCGACTGATTAATGAAATAAAAGACTTGTTTAAAAAGGCTGAAAGAAAACATAGTGGAATTGTCGGAAATGAGACGGCGGTAGTTGGGGATGGGACCTATAATTTTGATATTCAAGACTCAAGAAAAAAGATCATTACTGAAATGAAAAATTGGATTAATACAGAATGGAATATTGCTGAGAGTTGTCCAAAGGAAAAAAAAGATTTAATGAAAATGTAAAGTTAAACAAGAAGAGGAGTATTATAAATAATATTGATATAAATTAGATACTAACTAATCATGGGTGTTTCCCCGCTCATTTTAATCGGTTCCATGTATAGAATAAGGATAATACTTTCTGTGATAAGTTTGGGAACGCCAGGAACTTCGTCGATGAATGTACGCTTACCCGGAGTGCAAGAGAGAAAAATAGAAAGAATTTTAAGGAAGATTTGAAAAGAAACTATTCAAATCTGAAAGATTTTGCAGAGACAATAATGAAGATTATAAATACGAACAAAGGTAGAATTGGAATTCGGCCCTGAAACTCAGATTTTGGATTTCATACGTTTTTTTCTTTTAAACGAAGAGCGCAGCCGGACCGCTGACTTTTCGTTTGTTGTTAGACTGGCCAGTCCCCACTTTTTGGTCATACGGACAGCTTGTGCCAGCTAGGAGAATCGGGGTTGTGTCCTTATGATAAAAATGATGAAGACATTGCCTATTGCTTAGAGATTTATACCGTATTTTCACCAGATTTAGGGAGAAACTATAAAACAAAAGCTGCTGATTTTAGCGATTAATGGTTCTGCTTTGGATAAAATAGCAACTAAACCATTGCTAACATTGCAGATGGTTCTAATAAACTACTAATTACTAATATTTCTCCGAGTTTTACACGCAAATGCTTTTGCATTTTTTGAGACGAGTGGCCTATTAAGCCTAATGAAATGTATGAAGCCTATCTTCTTTAGTAGAGATAATGCTGCTATGAAAGATTTCTTGAGAGCAACATGACTACCTACATAATTAGTCCCTTAATTGTGGATTAAGTATCCATTTCGCCCATATTGGCAAAATATGAAGTTATATGGCTTTTACATCAAGTAAAATTCTGTTAGTTCATTAGAAATTTTACACCATGATTGACAAATAGTTCGAATTTTAGTGTAATTTAAAATTCGAGGTTTTATTAGAAAGAAACGTTTCTAATAAAACGTTCCCTTATTTAAAAGAAACGTTTGATATATGGTATCCATTTTATGCTTTTAGATGCATTTTTGAAATGTTAAAGAGACTTAGACAATTATAAACAACATTCATTCTCACCTTCCTTTGAACCATGATATCATTTTCGGCAAAAGGAATGTTTTCTTTCTTTTTTCCTTCTTTATCGAACCAGCCATCAAAATTCCCGTTAAAGACACTTCCTTTCAGTAACTTGTATTTCCCTTTTCGAATCGCTTCTACCTTCCATTCTGGATCTATATTGTGGAGAATTACTTCTCGTGCAGAAGTTGTGTTGCAGCATATTGTTGGCCACATATCAAAGCCATCAATATCTCCCAAGTTTTTAACATCGCCTCCTGCAATTTAAAACAGACAATTTTTTATGTAGAATCGTACGGGAAACACAGATTGTTTTTATTCTTATACCATTCTCTAAACGTTTCTTGAGAGGTTTAGTTCCAGAAATTTACATTTCTTTGAAAAATATTTTCTGAATAATTCCTCTTCGCATATTACGCAAATACACTGAAGAAAATAGAATAAGAAAAACAATAAAAGTACATAGGTAAATTATTATTATGAGCAAAATAGGATCAACCATAAAATATATATAATTTAGCAGAAAAAGTTTGTTTCAAAACGTCACATAACTCATGATTAGCCAGCAAGAGCCAGCAAACAAAATAAGAGTACTTTTGCAATTCAATCAGTAAACGTTCGCAAAACACGAGTTTTATCTTTATATTAATAAACAGAAAAAGAATTTCGTTCAATCTTTTGCAAATTCAAGAACATATATGCTGTAAAGTATTTCTATGGACAGCATTCATTGGTTCGAGGTTACTAACATTTATAGAATGCATGTAAAAGCTTCAAATATTAAGAAGTGTATGTATTAAGTAATTTTAGGGATTAAAAAGCACGCAGTATGCTTTGAAAGACAAATATATGCTATTCGGTCATTTTCTTAAAGTATATATACACATTATGTGCTGCATGGAAAGTAGAGAGCTACTGCATACTTTACCTTCTCAAAAAAATAAGCAGAGGCAAAATACGGACTAAAACAAATCACGATTTAATGGATATGCGCGTGAAATTGATCCAAGAGGGGCTTGGTGTACATACCATACTAGATTCATTACTAGAAAGCAAAGGCATACCAAAACACATATATTACGACCACCACATCGCAAAAGACCAAATGGGACGGAAATCTTAGTGAATTATATGTGCACTGCTAATAATGGTAATAATGGATATGATAACCATCTAGTTGAAATGCATGCTTGACAACTGACAGACCAGTTAGCAATAGTGTCGTTGATCGCTTGTTGTGGCAGTAGCGCTCATTCCTGTACTAATGTATGTCGGAGCTCGTACAGGGTGCCTGGCTGCACACTGTGACCTGCTCTCCGTCGTTCCAACATGTCCCACACATACTCTGTGGCACTGGAGTCCGGTGATCTAGCAAGCTATGGTAGGTGTGGAATGGGTTCACTTCCCAGATAACGCTGCACCACTCGAGCTCTATGCGGACGGGCGTTATCGCCCATAAATATCGCGTCGGTACCCATCGCAGCGATAAAAGATTGCACAAGAAGGTTTAGAATTTCGTCACGATATCGGACGGCTGCGATGGAACCACAAGGAATCTCGTAGGGTTCGGTGCGGCCGTTCGTTGCTATTCCTGCCTTTACAAGTAAGCTTCCTCCTCTGTAAAGGACTCTTTCGACAATGTTTGCCGCCCGAAAGGATGTACCTGACTCTCTCTATATCATTTCCCTTCATGAATCGTTCTAGATGTTATATCGAGACTCATCCGGAAAGAGTATGTGACCCCACTGCTCTGGTGTCCAACTTCGATGTTCACTGGCCCAATTCAGCCGCGCTCTGGCATGCGATGGGGTAAAGGACACAAACACATGTCGTCGGGCGCACAGTCCACCTTCATGCAGTTGAAGCAACACAGTTTGGTGGGATATGGGTCGTCGAGCAGCAGCAGAGAGATGCGACGTCAGCTGTTGTGCTGTTAGTGATCTACAGCGTCTTTTGCACATAGCAAAATGAAGCAATCGTCTACCGTTTGTGGTAATACAGTGGCTTTCAGACACACGTCTACATGGGGTTTGATCCCTTTGGTAACTATTTCACAGCCTATTGATGACACTACGATGCACATTCAGCTCTCTCGCAACAACGGATTGTCTTGCATCAGTTTGCAACATCCCAAAAGCCCTCGAACGCATTTCATCTTGCAAACGGCGTCTTCGGCTCATGCTTCCGCTTTGGCTATCTCAGATTATACGGAACTATTGCTGTTTGCGAACTAACGTCATTCCCCCTTTTAAGGCGTTGTGGTGTGACTGCGGGATTGAGTTTTATGTTAATTTTGGTTGCCTATATGCATTAGGTGATGTAACCTCTACCTCATATGTAAACTGCATGTTTTAGTTCACCTTTTTACATTCGTAGTGTACAGACATTAGGTTTAGTTTTGAAGTGGAAGAGATGAAAATGTGCAATGCCTTCGCCGGGACTACGAACCTCTCGAGTGTGCCGACCACTACACCACTAAGACATGCGAAGAAGGCGGGAGAAATACCTTATAGCACTTTTATTTGAGGCGTTTCTTGCTTAATTTTTAGAATGAGTTTATTAACATCTATTAATCTTAGTTTTACTCTGCTTACCTGCTAATGAATATAAAGTAGGCAACCAATCACTCATATGCATCATATGAGTAGAAACTATCCCATCTGTCTTCTCTAACAAGGGACTCCATACAAAAGCAGTTCCTCTAATGCCACCTTCCCACATGTTGTATTTGGAGCCACGTAAAGGCCAGTTGGATCCAGAGCTTTGATCTATGCCTTCCACAGCAGCTCCGTTATCAGTAGTAAATATGAGTACGGTATCTTTAAGCATGTTAGCTTTGTCTAATTCAGAAAAAAGTTCACCAACAGAGTTGTCTAATGATGACACCATACCTGCAGAACACAAAATTGAGTGAAAAGAAAATTACGATAATATAATATATACACTAAAATGACTTAAAAAGCATTTTGTATTCTCCCTTATTTTGAATACCCTAACAGAAATTTAAGTTGTGAATTTTAGTTGATAAGTTCAAAGACTAAACATGATTTACTTTTAAATTTTTGCGTTTCATTTGTAGATGGTATAGCAGTCTGCTCGCTTATCTGATATCCATTTAATATCTAATACATTTAAAGTGTTTTTAGCGTACTTAAGCTGAAGAAAGTACTTGTACTTGTCCACCTTTTCAAACAACTCCTTCTGATACCAGATACATGTCTCGAACAATATCCTCAAGTGCACAAATAAACTCTCTTGGAAAACCATTTCAGGTATTGACAATTTTAATAAATCAAATAAACCAAACATCTGTGTAACTATTTGCTTATGTAAGAAATAGATTTCTTAGGTTAGTTATCTCAAATAAAGATATCGAATAATGTACTATAAAAGCTTTTTATTGACAGTAATTAATTTGAAAACAGGAAAACGGTTATAAGAGATAAAAATAGCGTTTTTATTTTAACGTAGTCAACAGGCAAAGTTCGCATATATCTTTCCGTAGAAAACTGTTTACCACGTGTTGTTCTATAAGGAGAAAAAATCGAATTACCTTATCATCACGTTAAGGAATAAGATGTATGAATAATTAGTTTCTAAATGAAGCCACAAAAGCCCATGAAATACTTAATTCGTTGTTGATCTATATGTGTTTAGTAATTGTTATGTTATATCTTTGAGAATATTGAAATCTTCTAATAGTAACCAACGAACCCTTCAATAAAGAGATTAGCGCTTACAGTTTTGTAACAAATACAATGGAACTCATTGATAATGAGCACATACAGAACGAGATTACCGTCGTAATGATCAAACGGCCACAATTATTTTAATTTGCATATTATTTCCTTACCTAGATTAATGACAGATGCATGAGGAATTTTTACAACCGAATTAACGTGTCAATTTCCCTGGTGTTCCTTTACAACCGAGTTCTGCTGTATTTTCAAATAAAGAATCAGCACTAACTCTAGTTATTGCATTAAGTTTTCAATCAGATGCAACCTGATAAATGGGATGAGCTTATTTTCTGAAGTTTTCCTGTTCAGCATGTTTTATGGAGTTTAACTTAACACATAAAATATAAAGTACAATGTATAAGAGGTGTCAGCAGTCTCGAAAAATAATTTTACCAAATTCTATTCGCCATTCTTTATTCACTATCTATTTTCTCATTAAAATATTTTTAAGGAAAATATTCTGTTCTGTTGATGCTGTTGTCACAATAATTAATATTTTTCAAGTGTATATAGATTAATTAAAACAAAAGTCTTCGATTATCTTTTATATGTTGCCATCTTCGACTGCAGAAAAAGCTGCTGAAAACCTTTCTGCTTTGATTATTTGTATCAGCGTACATAGCTGTTTCTTTCATTTCGTTACTTAGCTGAGTTAGTGGATTATTCTTTATCTATTGTGAATTTTAGTTTTTGCGATGTCAAATTTGCATGAATGGCTGATTTATTTTCAAGCGCGAAACTTTTTAAGATAACCTTCTGTAAATTAATTTTTATACGAATATAATTCCTATTTCGAAAATGTCTGTAAATTAAATAAAAGACACTTTATTTAACATCATACATAAGTAAACTGCACTGCTAACACACAAGCTGTACTTAAAATGCATCGCAGTAAACAATTAGACTGAATGGCATTAAATGTTTGACTGATTTGCATCGATAGCTCAAGCATTTAACATAAATTTCAAACAATAATACTATTTTAAATCAATATTGTGTTTTGATCATTTAAAATTTACATACATTGCACTACTGTTCATGTTAACACAATATTCTTATAACTTTTAACAGTTAGAATATGCTTTTGTATTATAAATAAAAAATGTACTCGAGTTGTTGAATGCAGTTCAACCCCGATTTAGCTATTGTGAAAGGCCTAATGAGACTTATAGACCAGTGCTGATTGTCTGTTACTTATTACTAGTAAATGGTTCAAAATCAGCCACGTGTAGAAATTATCAAATAATTTTTTACGTGCATTTGTTTTACTAGAAATAGCTTCGCACAATACACCTTTCTGATTCGCCTTTCTGTTCTTAACAGGTTTCTTCATCTTAAAACTGAAGAAATGCAGTGTGTAAGTATTAATTTACAATGCTATGAATGTAAACATACATAAGAATCTCAATTAAGGAGAGGCTGCAAATAATGCAGTTGAAAAAATTACAAGTTTTAGCACGCTATTACAGTTAAGATTATAGAAAATGTTAGATTTTATAAAATGCTGTTATTTAACCGAATCCAATCCTATCATCAAACAGGATAATTTAATATTGCTTTTTTACGTTTTGGAGCGGATTGATTAAAATAAATGTTGAATCGGAGAGTCCTTAGATAGAGGCAGAAGTGCATCATTTTTTGACAGTTATAAAATGCTGCTTTTAATAAATCAAGATGTCCATTTAAATTACTTTTGAAGTTTCAGACTGTTAGTATTTAACGAAATGTTGCATTAAATGCGTTAAGCTAGGATGCTGAAATAATAAACTTGACCAACGATAAAGAGGCTTGTTGTGCAATAACTGATGATGATAATAATGATGAGCAATAACTTTATTCAACAGGAAGCGTATAGAAGGCATTTTATCAAAACTATTGCCCACTTTCTTCTTACTAAAATAAGTATAAAATGTGCTTTATTTTGTACTAATTCCTAAATACTTAGGTTTAAGAAAGTAAAATAAATATAGAAAAAAAAGTAAAAAATGCTTTAAATAAAATCTGTAACCTAGTGAAACACTGAAATTTAAAATAGTATATCAAATTAATAATTTAAAATCAAATTTACCGAAATATGCGCGTTAATAATTTTTAAGCATTACCTGCAAAATTTCTCCTGTCGGCATCCTTAATATGAGTAAATATTTCTACATATTCTGGCGGGGCTTGCAGCGGTGCATATGAATTTCCAGCGTGCACAGCTTGATGGGCTAAGTACAAAAATAGTGGCTGAAAAATGGAAAACATCTTTTCATTTCGTTGTTAATACCAAGTTCATAAGAGTGACTGTAATATCAAAAAAGAAAAAAAGTTTAAATAGAGGTAATAACATACTTTATGAAATTTGACTGAACTTCTCCAATTTAATCTTAGCCAACCGATGCTTACTTTTAAAAAACTACATTAAAGAAAGGCTATCTAACTAAGCAGATGAATGCCTTCGCTTAGGTCTTTTTAAAAGAAATGGATTCATATTTATGTCGTACAGGGGTAAAATTACGAAAACTCAAATTTAACTCTTTCGTTCTCCCTGCCCTATTTTTTGTGCGTATATTTTATATTAGCTTCCTTTAAGAATTCAATACTGAGAGGTTAAATATGCGGAAGACGCAAAAAGTGAAACACATAACTAGAACAAAGATAGTCAAGAGCTTAAGTGCTGAGACAAAATTTCAGTTGTTGCTTAACGCCTTAGATCTGACATGTGATTTGAAGACCTTTGCTTAATTTTTCAGGAGAAATTTAACCTCCTTTGTAGGTCTCTCTGAAATTGATTTTCTACAATTAGAAACAATAATGAGAGCCAGGTAGGCGTATCGATACATATTTTAAACAACCTCATACTAAGGCACATCTTCTTGGCCGATTGCGGGTGGGGGGTAGTCCCAGCCTACTTTATGTCCTCAGACGAGTTATTGGTTCACTAAATTCTAACTTAGAATGTAGTTAAAACTCTGAATTACAAGTTTTTAAAATAAAATATATTAAAAGTTATGACTTTTATCAATAAAAACAATAAGAAGTGAAAAATTTCTTCTTGCAAACTGATAATGTAAAAATACAGTAAGTATTCGTAAAAATATGCATCTTTAAATAAAATATAGACAGAAACTCCTGCCCGGCTCTCGTTGTCTATAATTGTAGACAATCAATTTCAGAGATACCTGCAAAGGAGATTAAATTTCTCCTAACAAATAGGCAAAATCACATGTCAGATCTAAGGCGTTAAGATACATCTGAAACTTTGCCTCAGCTCTTAAGCTGTTAGCTGTCTTTGTTCTAGTCACGAATTTCACTTTTAGCGTCTTCCGCATATTTAACCTCTCAGTATAGAATTCTTAGAGGAAGCAAATATAAAATAAGTGAAAAAAATAGGACAGGGAGAATAAAAGAGTTAAATTTAGACTTTTATCTTAATTTTAAACTTCATTATCAATATTTTTCGTGTATGAAATAAGATACTCTCTTTTTTTACATGCTTCGATTACTTGTTCTCTCTTTTTTGGTTTACTAAATCGTTTAATAGTGTCGTTCTTTTATCTGTACTCGTTCGTTCAGAATTATTTCACTATTCATAATTTTTATGAAGTTATTCGCCGCATATTTCTCAACTTTATATAAATAATTAACGATTCAGATTCAAACTTAACTTAACTCACCTCTAAGAAATGATTCCATTTTCAAATGCCATGTGAATTGAGATGGCAAATTGGTTAGATATACGTAGGGCGATCAAATATGAACGAACTGTTATTGGCTGAGCGTCGGAGTGGATATTTATATATGTTTGGGCAGTTGAAGACATTAGGTGGGGTTGCCTAGAGTAAGCGAACCACACCAGCGGGCTTGTCCCGTGCTTTATTTAGCAGTCCTTACGATGAGTTAGAGAGTGTGCCCATCCATATTGAGCAACACATAATTATAAAGGTTTCTCGTCCGTGAAAACAGCCGAAGTTTATCACGAAATGCAAGCCCAATTCGGGCAAGCTACAATTTATGGTCAAGAGTGAAGGTTTGGTGCAACGAATTCAAGCAAGGCCGTGAACGTATTGTGAATCAGGGTCATCCCCGTCGTTTTCGCACCAGTGCGACTAATGAAAACACTGCACGTATTGGTGAGCTTATCGAACGAGATCTACGCTGTACAGTGCTTCAAATTTCGGAAAACTTGGTGTCAACTATGGAAGTGTTCATTAGTCATCAGAAAGAATTTAGGCTTCAGAAAAGTCTCAGATCTTTGGTTTCCAAAGTTGCTGAATAATGATCAAAATGCTGCTCGAGTTCGCATTTCTCAATTGCTTGAAACTCGTTTTGAAGAAAGGGAAGCTATTTTGCACAAAATTGTCACCTGTGACGAGACATGGGTGCATCATACATTTCTCAATCAAAGCGTGCAAACATGGATTGGAGAAGGAAAGGCAAAAGAAACTCCGTGAAACCAAAACTCGATAGTCTGCGGGGAAAGTGTTGCCCACGGCCTTTTTGGGACTGGAGGGAGATCCTAATGGTGGATTTCTTACACGAACGGCAGACCTTCAATGCCACCTGTTACTGCGGTCTCTTGGATCAAGTTAGGCTTCATTATCTACGTAAAAGGCAAGATTGTCCAATTCGCGAAATGTTGATCATCCGCGACAACGCCGGACCCCACAACAGGCTTAACGCAGCAGAAACTGATGGAAATGCACTAGAAAATGCTTGACCAGCTACCTTACAGCCTAGACATATCACCATGCGATTTTGACGTGTTTGGACACCTCATAGAAGCACTCGAAGACAAGCGATTTGAGTCCAAATATCAAGTGGAAATATTCGTGTGCAGCTGGTTAGATACCCATCCAGCTTCATTCTACGAGAACGGAATAAAACATTACCAAAACGTTGGGGAAAATGTATCGTGAAAGGAGAAGATTATTTAGAAAAATAATTTGGAGAAATGTAGATGTTTCCTATGAAATATTTTTTAAAACAAAAGGCTCGTTTATGTTTGATTGACCCTCGTAGTTAGCGAAAATGCAGCTAGATATTTTTTAACAACGTTGCACTAGTACGAACTAATTTACTTCTTCTTATTATTTAAGTATTCTGCCCTAAGGCGGAATACGGAATCCCTATACGGAAGGGAGGGATGCCGTCTTGGAGAAGCTTTCTAAGGGAAAGACTCGTACTAACAAGTTACACATGGGGAAAACTACGAAAACGCTCAAACAGCTAGCCCGTACGCGGAATTCGACCCTCGGATCGAACTACCAGTGTTCGCTCGGTCGTTGATGGGTTAATTCACTTATTCCCATGTAGGTAATAATTTAATTATGCTGCCCTTTAAACAACTTTCAAACACAGGCTTCTGACTGAATGCAGATAACAGAGATATATAAAAATATTTCCAAATTAAAATACTAGTCACATAGTTTTAATCAAATATTTAATCGTCTCTGTAACTATTTTAAAAGTTTCCCGAAATGAAGAAAATTTCCTTTTAGTTGAAAAGCAAAGTAATTAATGAAACAGATATTATTAGAGTACTTGAAAGTATATTTTTCTTTATATTTAAGTTAACTATTAATCCAGGAGCAAAATAAAATTCCACACTGCAACTCCCTTTCTCTAAGGAATATTATTTTAGTAAAAACATGATTTCTGTTACAATTCCTACATTTACGTATTTTACAAGCAGATGAAAATTCAGCATCAGATATAAGTACCTTTGATGAATTATGAGATCTTATAATATCTTCCGCTTTCTTCGTGTATACATTAGTTGCATACTGTCCCGTATAGTCCCAAACATTTTCGTTGTCGTCGTGGAAATCAAGTCCGCATGTACCTTCCTGAAAGATACAAACTAAATATTATTAAAAACTGCTGAAATTTAGATATCAGTGTAAATAACTAAACGAGTAATATCCGTTTAAGTTGTGATGAAATGTGATCATCTTGCAAAAATTATTTAATTAAATTAAGATTAATTTAGACATTAATTGTTTTGTTGTTCATCACATTGTACTGAAGCAGAAAAAAACAGTAAATTGAAGAATAAATATTAATTTTGAAATGTTTTAGGTGTTACCTGCAGCTGTACATTTCCGACGGGGATTGCATTAAAAGTTAAGGAAAAATACAGTCATTACTTACGTATGTTATACGTAATTCTTTTATCAAAAATTACGTACCCCTTCTTCAGAATGTGTATACAAATCTCCTTTTCCGGTCCAGTACCCGAAGAAAGAGTCAAACCCTCGATTGACAGGGAGATAGTCTTCACGAAAATGTCCCAGATGCCACTAAAAGGAAGAGGAATTCATTTTAATTTAAAAAACGATATATGACTGAATAGAACTCGTATGAACTTAATAGCTGTAACATATCAAAACATAGCAACAGATAGGCAAACCTGAAGGTAAAAAAATTATTAAATAATCAGGAAAGATCGGATCGTTTTAAATCACTGACAGCGAAAAACATATTTAAACTACAGTGTGAAATAGGTTTTATAATTTTGACATAGATATTGGGCTGATTGACATGTAATGTATCTCACTGCTTAAATTAAAATTTTCATGTTTCTACTTGCAACTTAAGATAACGATTGAAATTTAAAAATGTTGTTGAAACGAAGCACTATGAAATGTGCCTAAGGAACCTCATTCTGAATTCGACATATTGCACTTCAGCAAATCTTATTAGCCGCATAAATTTAAAAATTACGTACACCAACCTTTTAATTATCTACAAAGATGTCTTTAAAAAAGATTTTTATTGAACTTATTCATATCATATGGTAAAAGTGTTTCATGAAGTTTCTCTCTTTTACCGGCAGTTTAAAATAATTCTCAAAGAAAGGTGGTAAAATTGTAAATAAGCAAGAAAGTTTTATTTTTATGGGCCACTATATATAACTTTCAAATACATTCAATCGGCGGTTATGCATAATGTGCAGTAAATTTGATTAATTAAGTATATCATACCACCATGAGCTAGAGAGTATGCACAATGCCCTGTATATGCAATTAATTCCAAATTTATGAAAACTTAACAAACTCAACAAGATAATCGATGTACGAGTATATGCCAAAATAACCGGAGATTTTGCAAAATCATAGAATTTATGATTTTTACTGTAAAATATTTTTGACATATATTTCGTTAGAAAGCCGCAACACAGCGCCCATGAGGATTAATCTAATACAGTTAATAAGATACATATACGAATGCTGTGATTTCCAGAGTAAGCCAGTTAAATGAAACAGAAGGAAACCAAACAACTTTAAGTTACGTTTTTGCAAGCTTGCAACGAAAGAAAGGGAAATAATACATATTATTTTTTTAATGGCCGGGTGATATTTATTAGCCTTGCGCCACTACAAGTGGCCCGGAAGTGGTGAACATTTCATTATGCAAGTGGCCACCGTTATCTGGTAATAATAGGTAATAATAGGTGGCCACCGTTATCTCCTATGAAGGGACGGACAGTTACAACCATGCCTTCTCCTGGATTCGAGCCTGGGTACGTCGCTATGGCAGTTAGGGTCAGTAAACATTATACCGGCTGGCGGCGGTAAATAATAAAAAGTAAAGATTAATAGAGAACAGGATCTTCCTTGCCGCAACAATGCCACTTACAGTCAAGATATATAACTTTAAAGATATGTCGCAATGTTAAGCTCTGAAATTCAGTTAGATTAGATTTGGTTACATAAGTATGGCAACGTGCACGTGAACAATATGCCTAAGGGCAGGGATAACTGCGTGGATGAATTTGTATGTTGTATGGAATCTGCTTGAATTTGTATGTTGCATGGATGAATTTATATCTTGTATTATTCTCTTATTTTTCTCTTATACTGTTCTCTTATTCACATTACTTGGGGAAAACATAAAAGATACTCGGGCAGACAGGCCGTTCTCCTGGGTTCGACATAATGTCAGTCTACCAAGATTAAGTGGTCTTGACCACTTGACCACACCATTGGTTAATTATGCATACCATACCAGCGGCAGGCATAATTTAATGCAATATATTTATGCTACATAATTGCGCCTATCTAATTATGCATTTTAGTTATACAAACTTTTATTTTTAGTTAAAATAGCACAAAATATTCAAAAATAAACTGATGACCATTTACATTATCCTCTGCGTGGAAACGTAAAAGGATACTTAGATTACCCATTCCTTCCTGGCCAACTTTCAGAAAACAAAGAAATTGATATAGATTCACGTTTATAAGGTATTTCTCCCACTTTCCTAGCATGCCTTCGTGGTGTAGGGGTTCTACACGCTGGACCGGTATTCCAGAGGTCCGTGGTTCGATTCCCGGCGAAGGCGGTTTCTAATTTTTCATCTTGCCTGCTTCCAAAAATATCCTAATGTCTCTACACGTTTACGAATTACACTGCTGGCCATTAAAACTGCAACACCATAAAGAAAAGCAAATACAAAAGAAAAAAATATTTATTGTGCGTTAACAATATGGGATGAAGACAAAATGATCAAATTTGTAAGAAGTCTGGAGGGGGGTTACAAGGTTGCGAAATTAGTAGAAACAGCTGCCAGCCTTGGCATCTAAAACAGCCCTTACCTGGTTAGGCATGGAGTCGAACTGGGCTTCGATGACAGAAACAGGCAACTCATTCCATGCTGCTTCAAGTCTCTACCACTTTTCATGAACCATATTAGCTGGAGAGGGGTGGCGTGCCAGTCTTTCAGCAACCCATGACCAGATGGTTTAGTGGGTGACAGATCTGGAAGCCGTGCAGGCTAGGGCAGCAATCAAATACCCTGCGTTTCGAGAAAGGTCAGAACACGACGTGCAACATATGGTCTTGCATTATCTTGTTGGAACGTGGCGTTTGGCAGGTCTCAAAGACAGGGCACAACCACTGGACATAAGATGTCAGAAATGTACCGATCTGCGTTCAAATTACCGTCGATCCGAACTAGAAATGTGCGTGTCGTGTACCCAATGGCTGCCCAAACCATCACACCAGGTGCAGGGCCCTTAAACCGATATCGAAAGCAAGCAGGCGACGTGCGGTCTGCTTAGAGCCTCCAGACATGAATACGGCCATCAGAATGCTGCACCCAGAATCGAGACTCATCTGAAAAGAAGACACTACGCCACTCCTGTATCCAACTTTGTCATTTAAGCGCACCATAGTCGCCGTCTCTTTCTATACTGCATTGTCAAGGGAAGCCGAAGTAATGGTTCCGTGCTGATTGTCAACGTTGATGCAAAAGTCGACGCCCCCTACGAGCGGATACTAGGCGTGCTGCAAACACGCCCATTTTCCGACTAATGGTCCGTGATGTGGTTATACGGTTTTGCAGGTTTGACCTCACAATATGTCTATCCTCTCGAGCGTTAGTCATGGGAGGGCGTTGAGATCCTGCATGCTGTTCAGTATGACCCTCAGCAACCCATTGAGTCTATATTCGCATGGAAGTGGTTGGATGTCGACCAGATGGACAGGCGATATCACGGAACGATAATACAACTCTGCATAAGCATCGATCGTGCCTCTATCGAATTCAGACACTTCCTGGTAATCATTTCTTCGTCTTATCCGAGGTATAACACGATATTTGGAGCAAACTCCGACTTTATTTCTGAATGAGAAATCCACTACGCAATGTTTCTTTTATGCAGTGCTTCAGACGTAGTTTCTTCCTTCTGCTTTGTCTATATGCACTGAAATACTAATCATTTGCATATCCCAACCTCTTCTTCCTTTCATGTGATTTTTACGTTCGTCAGATCATTCCTTCCTGATGTTGCAATTTTAATGGCCAGCAGCGTAATTTTGTGCTGATCTAATGCCAAAAAGAAGACTAGATTAGGCGTTTTAGAATTCACCATAAATGTTTTAAGCTTCCTCTGGCAGTTCTGTTTTAAGAAGTTTGGTTTGGTTTATTGAGATTAAGGCAAAGCACACTAGGGCTATCTGCCTAAGGGGAGGGATGCCTTCGTGGAGGACTTTCTAAGGGAAACTGGCTCGTATACACGTTTACATGGGAAAATCCACGAAAACGCCCATGCAGCCAGCCCGTTCGCGGGATTCGAACCTCGGACCGAACTATCAGTGTTTAGCGACTTTACCGCTCGGCCGCTGGCGGGCCCTGTTTTAAGAAGAATACGCAGCTTTTATACGTTTCTCACTACAAATTAAATGCATTTGCAACTTTAGCAAAAGAGATTAAATCAAATCATCAGCAACACGAATATGCTGGGAAGGATGGTAAAACATCTCGTTTGTTCAGTAGTCAGAAAAACATTTACCTGCAGTCACAAAGGTTTTTAATTCGATTCCAGGAAAACATCTGTAAGGAACCTCCAAAGGAAACTTTAAGCAATACTTATTATGGAACAGCGCATTTAAAATTATAATATATTTCATAGATTACATAAAAGCGTGATTAGGAAATTATGAAAGAATAGCTTGAAAGTAATGGTTACTTTTGCTTTGATTTTCGAGATTATTAGAAGTTTCATGTCGTAATTCCGTTGATTAAACGGCATTCTTTAATCTAAGCAGCGGAGTAATTCTTAGAAGTCAAAAACATAATGTTAAGTTCTTTTCTGCCAGATGAAGTGATAAAAACTTATTCTAGTAGGTTGAAATCTTTCCGCAGGAACAATACTGACAAAACGGAAAAATGACGAAATGTTTGAGGCTAGAAATGATACAGCTCATTAAAAATGTAAAACTGTGAATAATATTTCTGCGCTATACATCTACATCATTTGTACATAATACAACAGGTGAGTAAATTTTACCACAGTCGCTATTAAGAGAAAATAATATACTTACCTTCCCAATTCCTCGTGTCACATATCCAAGCTGTTTAAGATATTGAGGCAGAATTGTTTCGGATGGAGAAAGACCCCAAGGTCCCTCTGCATATATAACATCATGTTGAAGGCCTATAAATAATCATAAATTTTACCACGAGGTATAAATAATTATTGAAATTTCCACTCGTATGTATCATACCATTTCTTTTCGAACTGTGAAAGTAAGAATTACTCTTTTAGCTATACTTTGTTAATGGCTGTATAAATAAATACGCATCTATGAAATTCTATTCATCTATTCATCTATGAAAAGTCAAAATACTTTCATTTAGAGCTATGTAATATTAATTTTAAGACATTACTAAACAAAAGAGGGAGAAAGGGCATTAGAAAGCTGAAAAGTGATGTTATATTTCTAGAAACGCAGCCTTCAATATTTTTAATTCATCATTACAATAGCAAAATCTTTCAAATTTTGTGAAAAGAAAAATCCTTGATAGCTTTTGTGACGTAACTGCAAAATAGGCTCAATAAGCATACATTTTAGACCTGATAAAGTAAAATAAAGTCGTCTGTGACTACCAAAGTATGATAAATATTCCGCGTAACTAAAAAAAAAAAAAAAAAAAAAAAAAAAAAAAAAACACCCTTTATTTCTAGAATAAGTTTGTTTCCACTGTCTTAAATATGAAGACAATTTTGTTCACGTTTAGAACATCGGTAATGAAGTCAATACTCAAAAATTTTATAAATCATTCGGATGAGAGCAGACTAAGGTATATCATACTCTCATTTATATATCGTGGATATCGCAGAAACATTTGCTTACCTCTATTTTGGAAGGAGTAAATGAAGAAGTCGAAATACGTAAGCAGAAAATTTTGGGCTTCAATACGTGAAAAAACATGGCCACTATTCATTCAGCTATTCTAATTTGCAAATAGCAAGAAAAGCGATAAAATGCAGGGTAACAAAGGCTAGCAATCACAAGTTACTAGATCAGATTTATTTAAATGAAAATACTCAAGCGTAGATGTAAGCAGGAAGTCTCCCGGTAAGCCTTGGCGACAATTTTCCCACCAAATTGCCGACTTGCTGATTTTCTGGAAGTTTCGGTAAATGAATACAGGAATGATATTCCCTGAAGCTTCTAAAAGGCCTGAAAATACCATATAAATACGACTTCAATTAGTGAGGTGGTTAGTCAATTGTAAGTGACCTCAAAGAAGCTGCCATTCAAGGTGTTAGCTGAATTGAGTTTTAGAGTTTACTCTGTGCCTAATATCGATAACTTACGATATTTCTGTGTTAAGAAATTTTGATTATCTTGCACTATCTCAGCCATGCTATATCTTCTTTGTAGCTCACCTGCGCAGCTTATAATACAGTATATGGCGAAAGGTTATAATTACATCTCTTGATCAACCACAACAGCTGTCATGTCGTTGATATCAATGTGCCATTAAGTATATATACATATGTGTCGTAGAAGTACTGATTCTTTCCTATAACTTTTTCTCTAGTTCTTTCAATAGTGGCCAAATTATTTCCAGGTTTTTGCCATGTTTTGCTGGTGAAAAATCTTAGGGAAGTATATGTTTCTAATCAGGATTTTTATGCATTATCTCTGACCTTTAATTTAGTGGCTAGCATGTAAGCAAAAAGCATAAGCAAAAATATAAAACTGAAATCATATTTCATTTCTCCTGAGCTGAAAGATTATTAGTGAGGCAGTAAAATATTAAAACAGTTTAAGACAAAAATATCAGCTCTTGGCTTGTATAAATGAATCTTATATAAGAAAAACTCAATTTCATTTTATACAAAGTATTTGTTAAAAGCACCTTAACAATATTAATCCAGATTTCCTTTGCAAAGCTTACCAAGTCGAATAGGATATTTTCCAGTCATAAGAGTTCCTCGAGAAGGTGTACAAAGTGGTTGAACATAATAATTGTTTAGGATAACACCGCTGTAGGCTAAAGTATCAATATTGGGCGTTGGTATCTGCTTCGATCCGTGGAAGCTAACATCATTCCATCCCTGAAAAAAAAAAAAAAAAAAAAAAAGTGTAGCCCAGTTAGGATACATAGCATGAGGTAAATACACAAAATTAGGCGTCACCAACTGTAATTCCTTTTGCCGATTGATGCGGAATATATGTATTAAAACCCAGGTTCGAAAGAAATAAAATTTTAAAATGTTCACTTAAGTTATCATTTTATGGACATTAACGATATTCTGGGTCTTTTCTCTGTATTAATTTGATGTAATTTTCTTTTTACGACGCAAATAATTGCATGTAAATTTTATTATATAAATAAGTTCTTTATCGGTTGCTTAACATAAATATACGTTTCATTAAAATTCAGGAAAAAGTTGTCGAAGACATTTGAACAATATTTCAGTTCATCAACATCCGAACTTTTGATAATGAAAATAATGATACTACTGATATTTATATGCAGTGAGAGCTCTTACTATTATAGATGCTGAAGTGAACTTATAGAGACATTAGGTTATTTCGAAGCAGGAGACATAAGATATGAGCAATGCCCTCTCTGAGACTCGAACCACGGACTTCTCGAAGTCGCGTCGAACGTGCTGATCACTACACCACGAAGGCATGCTAAGAAGGCCGGAGAAATATCTTATAAACTAATTTTTTCTTTTAAATATGAAATGCAGTATTAAAATATACGCAAATAACCAAGAAAAAGGACGATTCTCTTTTGAATGCGTCAAAATATTAAGACAGCTCTTTTTATTCATTAGTTTGAAAAGTCTAAAAATTTTTTTTCGATGCATAACGTATTCCCCGTTTTCATTGAATTTACGTACATCATTAACAAACATAATTATGAATTTTCCTTAAAATAAAAAGTCATATTTGATGAATTTCAATACAATATTTCAAATAAATGTTGATATTACTCATTTACATCAATTAGTATAGTCTCGTAAACTAAAAATTTAAAAATCTAAGCTGTTAATTTTTTTCTTATGCTATAAATTATGCATGAGCTGCAACAAATTGAAAAATTTCGATGTAAAGGTAGTAATCTATTTTCATTAGAGTTCTTTATAGCTTCCTCTTGAGAATGTCGTGTTTGCGTTGGCTGAAAACAAAAGGTTTATTCTTCGTAAACAGATCATAAATAATACTTCTTTATTTATCACTTATAGAATGGAATGTAAAACAGAAACGACAAAAATTAATGTCTCTGTAATTCCTATACATTTTTTTAAAAACTTAGCTAGTATAATCTTTTTACCTAACTGCCATTACAAACATAGAATTAAAGACAAATTAAGGATAAAGTATACAATTTTCTATGAAATACTGACAAATTTTCAAACTTAAGGAGTTTAATAATAAGAATTCTAAAATAATTTGTATAAGTTACGAGGGGATGAATTTTTTTGGTTTTGTTCAATTTCTAGTATGGATTTATGGATTAATAACTTTAATTGTGCAAGATACAGCTTTCGAAATCGTATGCTGTAAAAAAAAAAAAAAAAAAAACTAATACGTACCAAATCATCTATAAGTATGAAAATAATGTGAGGTGACTTTGAACAAATTCTCTGGACTAGCAAAATGAGCAAAAATAGAGTTGAAAGTTTCATTAAGTTCTGCATCTTCTTTGAAGCATCTAGAAATTATTAAAAATAATTTGACTATTGTATATACACATGCACTTATAAAGTGTAATATTTTTAGAATAACTTTAATAACTACGAATTTGCTGTTAGATGCTGTAAAATAAGGATCAAACTTGGAAAGATTAAAAATGAAACTGCAGTTATTAAAATAAAATATACGTTCGGAGAAGTAACATAATTAAACAGCACCGGAGAAAGAGTGCTAAAAGAGTTGTAAATAAAAGTCAAAATCAAAAATAAATAAATAAATAAATAAATAAATAAAAAACTAACAACTAAAATGTATGAAATGTTTCAGATTTTAAATTACGTCCAAAGAGGCTTTTTTTAACGTTTCCTGTGTTACCTTTATTTATTAAATATCACGTTCCTCGCACTTAAACCATAAAATTCAGTTCAAGAGCAATATCACAAAATAGTCTTAAATTGAGCATATTTTTTTAGACTTTCCGATACAGAGTCTCGCGCGCTGGAGATAAAAATGTTTCTTTTGTACAACGTTACCATTGCTCGCCTTGAAATCCTTGAGTTCGTTAATCAAATTTCGTTAAAGGTTTACAACATATGAAATCGATTATAAAACAAATTCCAAATTTCAAATTTGGGCTTCCACATGCCCATATTCGCAGTAGGATTACGCTATTCAAAATTCGATAGCTCTATATACCGTTGTTTTATCACAATGCGAGAAATATTCAAACATTTATGCAGATTTCTCATTATTTAATTTCTTCAAATATAATGCAGGACTCTAACATTTGGTGGCAACAGTTTGAAAAGTGAAACAGACATTTATAGTGAACCAACGCAAAATCACAAAACGAAAACAATAGTTCTTCAGGGACAAAAAGCCCCTTTGGACTCGTAAAAATCTCAGATGAAAATTACGGAAAGCGGAGTATATAAAATTACAGCATGTGTGGGAAATATCATATTAACTATTGGTTTAAAAGAAGCTTATCATTGACCGTTTCGTTGCTATTTCTTTGAACATCTGAAGTATCCGAATCGGCTTTAGCCTTGCTAGCCGTCCGTAAGTTGAGGGCCTGGTTAGGATATGTCCCATAAAAAATTATACAAATTCTACTCAGCAGTAAGCCAAAGAATTATATCTCAACTAATCACAGTTTTCGAAAAAACATAAGAATGAAAAATTATAACGCTTGTTTCGATGTGGAGAAAAATTTTCTTTTCTTTTACTCAATTTCTATAAGTTTATAAAAGCGTATTACACACTGTTTTACTTGTTAGCCTTTCACTTCAAATGAACTTTTCTTTGACACCTATTTTCCTGCACTGAAAACCACTGGCTAAGTTTCTGCAATCGCTTCTATTTGCACGTGTATACACGTGTTTTCAAAATTAAATTAAAAATTTATTTATCTACAACGGTAAATCAAATAGTTAGGGTCAAGATACTAAAACTTTTAACTAAAAATGGATATTATTCTAAAATTAGATTCGGAAAAGTAAGCAGTAAATTTTGCTATAAAACAACTGAGAAAATTTCTCTTAAATGCATTATACTGATGTACATTTCTATACATTTTTACTTACATTACATTACTACTAACAACATAGAATATGTAAAAGCACTCGTACTAATAATTTTCATCATTCTATGATTTGTTATTCAATATCAGTAATAAATCCTTTTACTTTACATTCATTGAAACATGCTTATCTCATTGTTATTGGGCATTTTATAAATGTGCATAAAGTTATGTTCCTTTTCTGCTTATAACGTTATTATATGTAAAAGATATTTATTTGAAATCTGCGAAGGTGTTTCTTAAATCATTATTTAGTTTTTATTAAGGAAGAGACAACGTAGGTTTCACTTAAATGTCGCATGTATCCTTACGTCAGCTCTAACCATAGCTCGTCCGTAAAAACTAGGAGTTCACAGTATGCCGAGAAGTTAGTACCAGGCAAAATAGGTCTCTCATACAAGGAACTGATATTTTTTGGAGCTCTAATAAATTGTAGCATTTTGTACGAGATACCCTGTCTAAAAACAGTTTATGTGTCTAAGCATAGATAATAAGCAATAAATAAAATATTATTATAAATGGAACAAAATAAAAATATGCATATTTATTAATATAAGATACTTACTATTTCGTTCTCTCTTTCCTTTTGTTTAATACTTTATCAGAATATCCACGACAAATTCATAAAAAGCTAAATAACGCATTCTAAGCATGCTAACACCTTATATAGACGAATCATTATGAATCGAAATTTAACAGAGCAGCCTAATTCCGTCTTTTTATTAATATAATATCAAACTACATTATGCAACTAAAAATAAAATAATTGACCTTCTTTTATTTCAATATTTATGAGTTACTTTTAAGAGACAGGGATTATTACTTAAAACGAGTTTCCATAATAAAGACAGTACACTACAGAAAGCTAAACACATTTAAACGACTTATGTTTCGAATAGTTTCGGCTTTCACATAAAAATACATATATTTTATTTCAAGATTATAACGTAAATACAACAGTAGATTTAAGAAGAGAAACACATCTTTGGATTTTATTTTCATTTTCCAGGAAGGTAAAGTTAATTATAATACCCTTTAATAAATTAAGGATGATTTATCCAAAGGATACATGCACGATAAAGTTTACCCAAATATGAAGTTTTCCCCTCTCGTTTTGTTGTCAAATTTCACCAAAATAATTTTCAGGAATGTTGTACAAAATGCTCTAACTTTAGGTACTCTAACTGCAGGCATAAAACAGATTATGCATCTTACCTGTTTATCAAATTTTGAAGTATTAACATCAGTATTTTAGATAAATCTAGACAGTCACTTTAGACGTAAGTAGATTTAACGTACATATTTCCATTGTTCTATAAATATGCGGCAAAATTTGAGATAATATTATCTTGCTCGCTAATAAGCACAATGTATGATATAACAATCATACAGATTGGCATATGATAAAAGTCGAATATGCTAAAAAACTCTAATTAATCTTTTTACACAAATATTTCGTATAACTTAATGTTGCAACTAATTTTCACCTAACATTAAATATTAGAGTTACAAAGCATTGCCATATAGCAATTATCGATAACTACTAACAACATAGGTAACAGATACAAAACTTATAATAATCTCTTATTGATGTTAGTGGTTTATTCAACATGAGCCAGTTTCCTTTAGGGAATCCTCCACAAAGCCATCATTTCTGTTTAGGCAGATAGCTTTCGCGTACTTTGCAGTAATCAATTAAAATAATTTTTTTTTAAATTCGTATGTTTAAAATACCGTAACTGAAACGACAGTTCACAGAAGACGGTGAATTCGAAATTGCACATTTTAGGAAAAAGAGAAAAATAACTTCCTTATTCGAATTTTCGGAAAACAGTTTATTCAGAAGCTTTCGTACTTCGCTAGAGAGAGTACTCTCTCGCTTATTGGTGCAGTAGACAATATTGATTAATGTACCTTTCTGCAAAATAGTCCATCATTGGAAAAGATCCAAAACTTCATTAAAATTACTCACAAGCAAAATAAAAAAAATTAAGTGAATAAAATTTTGTGTTCTTTACTTCTCTGAATACGTTTGAAATGACACCAATGATACGAATGCTACTGCATTTTGCAGGTTATCACATCTAGGTCCCTGCTAGACGGGACTTTTCTGAGAAAGGAAATTTCTGGTAGCACTGGTTTAAATGGGAGGATTCCTAGAAAAAAAGAGCTCCGCTGGAAACGAAGTTCCGCCTAGCTACGGAAACAATGTACTGGCGTGGGATTTTTTGAAAACTCGCTGAAAATGTTTCGGCTGCAGCTCTGTCCCGCGTAGAGATCAACCAGTCAAGACGAAAAGTCTGCTTCTGAAGGATCACGTGATCCCAATCTGAGCTATAATCGATTACCGTTTGGCGTTCAGGTCTTTGTAGTAAATGAAAATGGTAACCTAGCTACGTGGGTTCTGAGAATTGTCCCTTTCGATGTCAAGTCCCTCGTAGCTGAAACATAATGTGATTGGAACTTAAGGTGAATGCGAGCCAGTTTCTCGGTTCCCTTTTTTCTCCATGTAGACAGCCTCTACCTTAAGATTTGGCAGAATGCCCTACTGTGCAATAATGGACTAAAAAATATCTTATTCACATCTCGTGAGACTATTGATAAGATAGAAAAATTACTCGATTCTTGCACTTCGTATTCCTGGAACCTCGGTCAAAAGTAGGATAGAATTAAGGCAGACAGGTCTCGTGTGCTTTGCTTAAATTAAATAATCCACTCTAAGCCTCTTACTGACAGTCAATGCAATTATTACAAACTTTTGATTATTCCAGCCTGAAGGGAGATGGGAAAAAGAAGTTTTCTACGGTCTTAAATGAACTCATCGGACACTTTTGTCGAAGTTGATCCTTTCGAATTCGTAAAAGTATTTGTTGGATCTCCGGAATGAGTAAAGCTAAATTTTTTCGAGATGTAGGAATCAGGGATTTTATGAAACCTGATGGCTATTCCGGTTTCACAAAAATATTAGTCAAGTGTTTCATACTATGCTTAAGTCTTCAGATGAGTCTCAGTTTGGCTTGTCATCTTTTCATTGCTTCTCTTCTTCTTTTCTTATCCGCCAGCAAGCGACAGATAAAATTGCTGAATACAGGTTCTTTGACTCGGATTCAAATCATGGCTAACCAGGTGAGTGCGTGGGAGTTTTCCTGACTTCCCTTGTCTATAACGTAAATACGAGACAGTTCCCTTGAAAAGTTCTCCACGAAGGCATCATTTCCTTTAGACAGATTGCCTTCGCGTGCTTTGACACAATCCATTTCTTGTTTTGTGTTCCGCAACTTGTTCGTAATACTTTGATTTTTCTATGATTGCTTATCAGCCTGGCGGCATCTACATTCTGCATTTTCATCGCATTTAAATTTAACATTCGCTGTCATTAAGACTCGGATCGAACTAGCAGTGTTCAGCGGATTTATCACTCGACCGCTGGTAGGCGGAGAAAAGTTATTCGAACCATAAAATGAATCTCAGGGAAGATACAATTATGAAAAACAAGACATTCTGTTGTAGGACTCATCAGTGGCGAATGAAACGATCACTAAACGCTAGTAGTTCATCCCAGACGCAATTTCCAACAGTTTTTTTTTTTTTTTAGTGGCAGCATAGAATTTTTCGTAGTTTTTTTCCGATCATAACGTGAATACAAGGCATTTTTTAAAAATAAATTAGAAATGCACCTTTATCTACGAACGGCTGAAGTGCTAAGACAGTTGAATTCCCGGGAATTCGACCCGTATTTGAAACTCGGCCAGCGGGCTCGCTACAGGGACGTTTCAGTCGATTTTCCCCAGTGTTACGTGAATACCAGCCAGTTTTCCTCAAAATCCTCCACGAAGGCATCATTCCCTTTAAGCAGCTAACTCTTCGATTCTTTGCCTTAAGACTTTGGCATGTTTTTATAGCTGTACATAATATTTAATTCCCCCCATCCTATTTCGAAATTTATGTATGCACGTACGTATATCTTTTCAGCTTGATTTATTGAAATTTGACTGCTTTCTTATTCAGGTGGCCATGAAATGAAGGTATCAATCTCTCAGTAGCTGTTAACTGTCATAGATATTGCATGTGTCTATCATATTCTCTGAGAGACCTCGAAATATCATGTATGACAGACTTTCAAAAAAGCATGATTGTTGGAGAGCGTTTTTTGGAGCCTCGGATACCGGAAACACTAAACCTTTTTGTGAGCGCATTAGGCACGTATTAGCCATTATGACAACGTACATGAAAGACTGAAAATAAAGTCATATTGGTGCAGAAAATATAAAGAAGGAGAAACTATAAAGTTGTCTATAAAGACAGACGAAATCTGAAGCGCACAGTGGCCCGAAAACACATGCACTCGTGACCTCGGGTAGCAACCGAAATGAATGCAAGGAATTAAAGCAACTTATACACAAGCAAATAAAAAGAAAATTACAGTACAGAAAATTCTAAAGTTACTAAAGAATGATTAATAAAATTATATGCATAGTATATTAGTGATGCATTATTTAGTTATAAAATAGGTTGCTGAAATACACAGAAATTTCATCACGTACTTATTTTTCATAACGGAAGTTTAAACCAGTAGCCATCCGTGTGATCATTCGTGCAATAACCCCGCCCAATATTCATTAAGCGCAGTGCTTGCAGCAGTTCAAATAATTACACAGAATAATAATTTGAAATTTTAACTTACCTTTATTACATTTCCTAACTGCAGAAGAAGTCACTAAAAACGCGTAAATTATCAAACCAACTTAATTCATCCAGAATATGAATTTTTCAGTTAAATATATTTCCAGTAGATAGCAGCACAATCGCTATAAACACAAATTCTTTAAATTCTTGAATTGCTGTGAAAAGCTTGTTTATGTATTCTATGAAAATTTCCCGAAAATAAAGAATTGATACTTCTGGGAAGATTAGTAATTGAATAGCATTAGAATAATCCTGTACTTATTTTTAAAAGCAGCTAATCTTGATTTTTATGGATTATTTTCTGCTTCCTTCCGGAATTTATTTTCTGCAGAATGTACGTGGTATCATATTTTTAATCAGGGACACAACAAGAGTTATCTATTCGTCATTAGTATCAATAGAATCCATCAGATGGTGCCACTAGTCATTCTGATGTCAAAAATTTTTGACAATTTATAATAAAAGATTGGTACTTCGTTTTGCTTTTTTTAATCATTATTAAAGTATATAATTTTCTTGAAGCTCGTTGATGTTATTGTCCTTTGAGTTAATAACTGTTGCAAGTACAATTTTACGAAACATATATCTTTCGCAACACGTATGCTCTACGCACGTATACACACGTATGTACACATCCTGCTGTCATAAAATTTTTCATCTATTTATGTGCTGCCATCTGGTAATCAAATATTAAAATGAAAAAGGGAAATGTATTTACAGCGGAACTTTAATACTGTTTATGTAAAAAAAAAAAAAAAAACAACTCTTTTGAGAAATAAAAATGAAATGATTTATAGAGAAAACTTCTATTATTAAAAACTAAATAAAAATAAAATTGATTTTGGTTGAGAAAAAGTTTCGTGCAAATGGAACATTTTACAAGATATGTAAACATAATAGTTATTTGTGAGATTTTCAAAGAAAATATTTAAATATAAAGTCTGAATTTAGACCCTGGTAAATTTTTTGGTGTATTTTGTCGATGGTCCTCATACATGAATAAACATTATAAAAATGGAAAATAACGAATTGTTCTTGCATCCCAACCGATATGTTCACCATAGACTATAGTGTATCAGGAAGCTGTACAAATGTGTAGCGAAATTTTCGTATTTAAAGTCACCTTCTATCAACGCTGGATTAACCCTTAAGTGATAGACTTACGTGCTTAGGGCATCAAGGAAAAGGGGCACCACAAAAAGGTTCCTAGGTATTCGGGAAAGGGGGACATCAAACAATTTTACCCTTTATATGAAGATGTAATTACTATCTGAATCGTGAATCCTACATATTCACGATTCTTAATTTAATATTGTTTATTTCCGAAAAGATGTTACATGCCATTCTAATATTAGCAAGCTTTCTGAGGTTTTCAAAATATCAAGTTTCAGATTCTGAATATCCTTGAAATATTACTACTTAAAAACATTTTTCAAGGAAAAGCAAAACAACGATTCCCAACTTTGGAAAAAAAAAAAAAAAAAAAAAAAAAAAAAAAAAGAAGAAAAGAAAAAAAAAAAAAGAAAAAAGAAAAAAATTTACAAGTTGAAATAATTTAGAATAAAAATTTCAGCTCTTCATTTCAAAAGCCACTCCAACCACAACGGAACAGCATAATCCTTTTAAAACTCAGCCAATTTTCTTGAGAACGTTTATTTTATGCCTCGAATTTTTGTCAATTCTTTTGCATTTATATAAAATAAAGTTTCTTTTTTTTGAGGGGGGGGAGGTTTGATTTATTTTCGGTTTACTCGGCCTAGTCAGTTTCATGCTGCTCTTTTGTGTTTTATATTAATGTAATTTTTGACGCGCAAGTAATATAATGACCTCCATCTGAATCACTAATATCATATGAACAGTTAGACTTCGATAGGATATTACGTAAGTTCCACACACGTAACCATACACGTTTTTATACGCATAAGTCTCATATATAACACGTTGGTTCTTGTATAGGGTATTAAATAAGTTCCATGCAAGGTAAAGTACTGAACACTAGTAGTTAAATCCGGGTTCCCAGGTCAATGAACGGACTGGTTGTATGGGCTTTTTCGCCACTGAAAACGAGCCTATTTCCCATACAAAATCATCCACGAAGGTACTTTGGCCTTAGACAGATAGCTTTCGCATGCGTTACCATAGTCCAAGTAATTCAGTTCAATCGTTGTACAATCAAAGTATAAAATCATTTCTTTTTTATATTTGATTTTATAAGATGCAAGCACAAAATTTACCTCTGAAGATATATTTTTACATGATAAAGAACTTCATTATAGATAAATGCCGAGAGGACACAAGTCGATTACCTCCATAGTAAGCCCAAATTACTTGGAATAGAGAATGACTATATTCTTGAGGTTTCGCTGCAATATGCATGCAACAGACAAATAGACCTCATATACTTTGCAAAATTAATTAAATGATCAACTAATCCGGGCTCTGTCTAGGCAGCCTGAGGTTCTGAGCATGATGTTCCTTCAGGGGCCATCCAATGCTTACTTTTCTGATATTCGCAGAGAAAAAATTAGAGTTATGAAGAATTATGTAGTCCTTAGAAAATAATTTGAAAAAGCCTTAGTGGCTCTGACCTCGTAGACTTAGACGTTAATCAGGACAACAACAATTACATATTTTCATCATATATGCAACTGCGTTTTCCATTTAAAGATTAAATTCATGTGTATTAAGAAATCAAGCACTCAGGATATGTGAAAATTGATAAGATGTCAAAAACATTCATTGACCTGCTCACGTAATTAAAATTGGTACAATTCTTTTAGAGCGGAGTCAGTTAAAAGTGCGCCAACAGCCACGCCAAATATCATGGCTTGAGATTTATAGTTTTCTTTTGAAATATCGTCACTCGTTATTTTTTTTTTTTTTGCCACATTTCGCCATTTTTTTTTAGTACGATGGATTACACGATTTGGCAATTAACTAATGACGAAGAGACTGCCGTAAGATTCTTTCAGCGCAAAAAGGTGTGGTGGTGGTGGTGTATTTAATTATGGCAAAGCACACTAGGGCTATCTGCCTAAGGAAAGGGATGCCTTTGTGGGGGACTTTCTAAGGGAAACTGGCTCGTATACATTTTACACATGGGGGAAAATCACGAAAACGCCCATGCAGCCATGCCCGTTCGCGGGATTCGAACCTCGGACCGAATTACCAGTATTCAGCAACTTTACCGCTCGGCCGCTGGCGGCCTATTCAGCGGAAAGGAATAATTCATAGCAATAGACTTTGTTCCCACAAATCATCCGATCAAGTTAACTTTAGGCTCAAAGAAAGCTCCTATATGGCGTTGTTACGTACGTTCCTGCTGTGGGGGGGATTTTTATTCCTCCGTAGAGTGTAGCTATTGCTCGCTTTTAAATCGTTGAGTTTGTTACTCAAAAATTCGTTAAAGTTTTACAAATATGAAACCGGTAATAAACAAATTCCAAATTTCAAATTTGGTCTTCCACGTACCCATATTCGTAGAAGGATTACGCCATTCAAAATTAGATGGCTCTAGGTACTGTTGTTTTTACACAATGGCAGAAATATACCTACATTTATGCAGATTTTTCATTATTTAATTTCTTCAAATGTAATGCAAGACTCTAACATTTGGTGGCAACAGTTTGAAAAGTGAAACGGACATTTATAGTGATTCAACGCAAAATCGCAAAACGAAAACAATAGTCCTTCAGGGACAAAGCCCTTTTTGACTAAAGAACTGAAAGGTTTCAGATTTAAATTACTCCCTAAGAGGCGTTTTTTAACGTTTTGTATGTTACCTTTATTTATCAAATATCATGTTTTTTGCACTTAAACCATACCATTCAGTTCAACGGCAATGTCGCAAAATAATTTTAAAATGAGCATATCTTTAGGATTTCCGATACACTGTTCCGCGCGCTGGAGATAAAAAGGTTTTCCCCCATCCCCACCCGGTAGAGTGTTGCCACTGCTCTGAAATCGTTGAGTTTGTTGATCAAAAATTCGTTAAAGTTTTACAAAATATGAAATCGATAATAAAACATGTATATATATAGGCATTTCAGATGCCTATATTCACAGTAGGAATACGCCATTCAAAATTGGATGGCTCTAGGTACCGTTGTTTTATCACAATGCGAGAAACTCACATTTATGTATTCTTCATTATTTAATTTCTTCTAATATAATACATGGCGATAGTATTTGGTGGAAATAATTTGAAAAGTGATACTGCATTTATAGGTTTCCGATGCAAAATCGCAAAACGAAAACAATAGTCCTTCAAGGACAAAGCCCCTTTGGACTAAAAAAAGAAAAAAGGGATTGAGAAACAAAAATATGGTTTGAAGACTCGCATCTTTCTTTTCTCAGTGCCGTTCGTTTTATCTATGTGTGGTGTCAGGACGTCTATTGAAATTTCCCAACTTCAGTTAGAAATCAGATATAATACGACAGTAGACTGGAATAACTGCATGAGGGAGGTATGTGCAAATAGTTTGATGTCTCGTAAAAGAAATGAAAACGGTGGAGCCAAAAAATTGTAGAAATAGACGAAAAGTCTTTTCACAAAAAGAAAAAACAACGTTGGACGTGTCCTTCCGGAACAATGGGTATTTGGGAATTTATGCCGGGAAAGCAAAGAAAGTTTTCTGGTCGCCGTTCCCGATCTTGTGCTGCAACATTGATGTCTGCCATTTAGGAGAACACTGCGGACAGCAGCATTATATTTTCAGACTGTTGGAAAGGACATAAGAAAGAGGAATTAAGAAATGTTGGGAATGAACATTTCACTATGAATCACAGTCATAATTTTGGAGACCCCGAAACTGGATGCACTATTCAAACTGCGGATAAATTGTGGGGTGGTGCTAAATGGAGAAATAAACGGGCTCTGCTCGCCACCATTTAGCGCCATATTTGATAGAATTTATGTGGTATCTGTTATATTCAAAATATTTCATATATATATTTATATTTCATATATAAATATCATATATATATTTAAATTTTTTCTGCAATATTGAATGATATTTGTAATTTTTATGCCATCTGTTTAGGTTTGAATTTCGTTTTTTCTTGTTGTTTTTTATTTATGAGTAGAATATTCTAGATTAAAAAATTAAAAAGAAAAATTCAATTTTCAATTTCTTTAAGAATTAAGAAATGGAAAGAAAAAAAAAACTACTTTTTACAGAACTTTTTTTTTTTTTTGTTTTTTTTTTTTTGTCTTTTGAACTTTATTATTATTTCATAATTTTTTACTTGGCGAGAAATGGCCAAAAAAATGGCAC